TAACCTGCACGTCCCATGGGCCTGTACTGTTAAATATTTGGAAGCATTTCACCAAAATATAATTATACGTGGTCTAAAACTTGCACCGTGTTCATGTACGAATGACCAATATGTACCTAAATCAAAGATTCATTAATAAAACTGTTGACAATGCATCAAACAAACACGAACTAAAGAGATCAATTATTATACTTGTTAGAACCGACAACAACCATTGGGCACACGGGGCCAGGATTACTTTTAAAATATTATCTCTCAAAAATAGTATTTCATGTCAACATTCTTACCGAGTACCATCATCAATCTATGTTTGTGATTTGAAATATCAAGGTTTAAACTATGGATTTACGTGACAAAGTGGAGACCCTTTCCGTCCATATTGCTCTGTAATCTCTCTGTTTCGACAGCTGTAAATGATGTCGACGAGAAGACGGATATGTGGCCATACACACTCTATGGTTCCATTAAAGCTGAAGTAGAAATTGCCTTGATCTAGTTGTGAGTTTCCTAGCGGGAGAGCATTACGTGAGATGTCATGATTGCCGCCTTGTTAAAGTATATTGATTTTGACAATGATAACGGATTCAGTAGTTTGGGACATTATTCATCCACTTACCTCCCAGTTGCTGAGGATAAGAAGTGGTCCTTGAGTTAAAACTTATACGTCACGCCATATGTTGACGAGACCAGTTTTGTTGATAAATGTTTGTCACAAAATACAGTAAAACATTAGTGTGATGTCAGAATTTACGAGCCGAAAAACAAACCGTTGCTGAACTAAAATATTTTAATCAACACTAGGATCAATACTACATTTAATACTATTCAAATATATGCTGTAGAACCACCAACCAAAGGGAGTATCTAGTATTTCTCTGTGATTTATACGATCACCCTTAGTCACTATTTGTTGTAGAGGGGCGGTGGGGTAGCCTAGTGGTTAAAGTGTTCGCTCGTCACGCCGAAGGCCCGGGTTCGAGTCCCACATGTGTGCAATGTGTGAATCCCATTTCTGGTGTCCCCCGCCGTGATATTGTTGGAATATTACCAAAAGCGACGTAAAACTAAACTCACTCACTCACTGTTTCATACCACCCCTACACCATGCCACCTCCACCTACAACAATGCAGCCTTGATTCGTCTGAAACACTTTATAATAACATTGGTTCATTGTAGCTGAAGCAAGAGCATCAAGTGTTATTCATGTATGATGTGAAAGTCCATTGTGTTGGAAGTTAGCGATCTTAGCGCACACACTATGACTGCTGTATACCACGTGATGTTCATGCACGATATGAAACTTCATTCAAGTCAGTAGTTCCCTTATTCTGTGTAGGGTACTATGTGTGCAATATATAGAGATTATTACATGAGCAAGTCTGTCCTACGACTTGTACGGGTTTCGTATAAGTCACTTGACACACTTGCTCGAGTGTCATAATTTATTTGTTATCAATTTTATTCATGTACATTTGTGTAGTAAAACACGACAAGCAAGTGTGACGGTCCTTTCCATTGACGTCACGTTTAATGTTTAATGACGTCACAGACGACCAAATACAGAATCATTGGTCGATATATGTGACAGTGGTTATGTTTCACCATATGGGTAATAAATAACGGTATGTAAACAATCGAAACCACAAACCAGTGCTCGATATTATGAGCAACAACCTGTTCCGTCGGGACATGCTGACACGCAATCAATCGAGGAAGCTATTCTGACATATCGGTCTATTAAGTCGCCTCGTGCAGCAATGTCAGATGTAGGTTGCTTGAGATGCTCCCCAATCAGGAATCCCGACGTGGTTAGTCGTGTAATTCACTGATGATAAATACAGTTAGGTAATCGGTTGTATCGCTCAATTTGACTGTAACGGAATCGGGTGGTCAGTCTCGCTTACTTCGTTGACACATGTCATCGTATCCCAATTGCGTAGATCGATGCTTATAATGTTGATCACTGGATTGTCTGGTCCAGACTCGGTTATTTACAGACCACCGCCATATAGCTAGAATATTGCTGACTGATGTGACTCACTCACTTAATCTGACTGAAACTTTAACTTAAGTATCTGCATACAAACACATATTGATTAAGTCAATGTATTTTCTCATTGTGTGCTTTCAGTGTTGAAATTACACGTTGCATCGTGTCTATCATAGTTCATATGTTTGGGGGGCGGTGGGGTAGCCTAATGGTTAAAGCGTTGGCTCGTCACGCCGAAGACCCGGGTTCGAATCCCCACATGGGCACAATGTGTTAAGCCCATTTCTGGTGTCCCCCGCCGTGATGTTGCTGGAATATTGCTAAAAGCGGCGTAAAACCAAACTCAGTCAGTCAGTCATATGTTTGATTTGATGAAATTCTTTCTGTTTTCACTTTTTTTTGTGTCTATGTATTTTTTAATCGCCCTCGTCAGGTTTAGATTGAATCATTATATTTATCCTGCTGTTTTACTGAGTGTCTTTTTAATGAATGATTTTTTTTTCACTTCGACATTTGGTCTACACAAAGAAACACAGATACACAGATACACACACACACACACACACACACATACATACACAACACTTACCGGTACTGACCGCCTCCGTGGTGTAGTGGTTAGAGCGTCCGCCCGGAGAGCGGAAGGTCGCGGGTTCGATCCCCGACCGCGTCATACCAAAAGAAGTTAACATATGGTACTTGTTGGTCCCTGCTTGGCGCTCGGCATTAATGGGTACAACAAGGACTGGTCGGCTCGGAGTCAGTATACTGTGTCTGAGTGGGGCATTCATGCTTCACTGCGGCATGGTATCTCAGTGGGCTAGCACTATAAAACCAGCTTAAGTCTGGGCTAGTACAAGCAGCCGCACATACACACGCATGCACGTCGTCATATGAGCGACGTTAAACCCAATTTCACCTCACCTCACCTCAACCTACCGGTACTCCTGTAGCGTGTTTCTGGAGTAATGTTTGTGTGAAACATTCCACTAACTACAAATGGAATCGTTTTGTCTTCTTTATCAAGTTGATATGATCATACGTATGTATCACGGTTCGTTATTATAGCAGTGTTTGCCCTCCAAAGGCAAACATGTTACAATCATAACTAACCGTCCGATTGATTCACTTTGTACAAGCAAGTTAACGAAGTAAAATATCGACATGGGAAATAAACAGATCCAGTTCAAAGGCTTCAATAGATCCAAATGTTGGTTGTTAACGACAACACTGATGGGAGCAGAGAAAGTCGGATTCAGACGGAGATTTCCTATGGTTTCCATTAATTGTTGCTTTTCTGGTAAACGTAGTATTTGTTATCGCGATTTATAAAAACACCGTGCTTAGATTCTACTAATTTATGAAATTTAATATTGTTCACATATACACTGAAACTAAGTCAGGGAAGATGCTAACGTTACTTGCAGTATCGTCCGTATAAACCCATGTCCGGAATAATAAATGACTTATGGATGTGGGAAGGTTTTTTTCGCTTCTATTTTCTTTTGATCCTAAATCACGAATTTCATTTTCAAGATGCGTTTCTCAATCACAGAATCTGAGATTCACTGAATGTTTCTGAATCATTGAGACTTAGTTTCGATAAATCACGGAACCTAATTTCAGTAAATTACGGAATCTGAGATTCACTGAATGTTTCTGAATCACTGAGACTTAGTTTCGATAAATCACAGAAACTGAGTTTCAGTAAATCACGGAATCTGAGATTCATTGAATGTTCCTACACCACTAAAACTTAGTTTTGATAAATTACGGAAACTTTGTTTCTATGTACCTATTATGAATATTTTAGCTAAAGTGGTTGAGGTGTGTTAGATCCGACAATTGGTTGTGCAGAGTTGCCTCCCTTTTGCACGTCAGAAACCAATGATCGTATTCGAATGGCAATCCCCCGATCATGTTTCTAGGTTTGACGTCACCATAATGCGGAAGAGCTTACTCACCACTCATTCGAAAATATGCAGGGATATGTCCACTAGAATAATGGAAAGATGTAATTTTATATTATGGAAGTAAAGAAATGTTAGTGAGTGAGTGATTCAGGCGGGATTTACGCTGTCTTTTTGCAATATGGATGCTCATGCTGTTGATCACTGGATTGTCTGGATCAGATTTGATTATTTACAGACCGCCGCCATATAGGCTATATTATTATAGCTGGAATATTGCTGAGTGCCGCGTGAAACTAAACTCACTCACTCACTCATCTTTTGCAATATCACGGCAGGGGACACCAGAAATGGGCTTCACACATTGTATCCATGAGGGGCATCGAAACTGGGCCTTCGGCCTGACAAGTGAATACTTTAACCACTAGGCTACCCCACCGCCCCAATTCATGAGGTGCATAATATATTATTGAGAAAAATCAGTGTGTAAGCAATTAATCTGAAATGGATCTCTTATGTTAAAGCTTGATGTAATATAATTTTGAATTAATAAATCGCGTCTCTAAATGTTCAGTTAAATGTAAGAAAAAAATGAAACTTTATATAATGAAGACAATTACCATGCGTTTCTTATTTAAGACAAGTTCCCAGAGAACAAAAAAGAATTAAGAAGCGTACCAACTTGTAGCCTTTCCTCACCCAATAAGAAACGGTTTGTGAAAAACGAATCCCTTGTATTTTATAGCTTTATGGTGTAGTCACAGGGTCCACGAAGACAATGAATACCGTGTCAGCTGTTTCACTGTCAGAAACAGTCAAAAAGAGCAAAGACCATCATTTTTATATTTGGTAGCATTAATCAATGGTTGTGTTAACGAATCGGTTTTATTTTATGTCTCATTGGGGTGTCTACAGGGTACTGAAGACATCATGAAGCCAATGTCAGCTGTTACCTTACTCAAGCTTCACTGTTTGAGAAATATCTGGAGATGCTCAAAACTGTGTCCTCGAGTGATCGAATAATAGGTGACATTTTAGAACTTTACAACAATGTTTCTACTAGCCTGTGCGGCAGTGTCCTTTGCTGGTCACCTGTGAGGATCTGGGTTAGAATTGGTCTTCAGCAAAAAATACTGGTCGTAAGAGGCGATAGGGTGGTCAGGCTCGCTGATTTGGTTTACACATATTTCATATTCCAATTGCTTAGATCAATGCCCATGATGTAGTTCACTGGATTGTCTGGTCCACACTCGATTATTTATGTAATATACTATTCAAAAAAAGAAACGCATAACCCATTAGAACTGTTGCGACAATGTTCTACTTTCAAACATGTATAACTCGTCCACAAATAGACATTAGTACATGAAGTTTTACATCAGTTTAGAAGATGGAAATGTCTATACAACCAAGAGGACAACTGTAGATAACGGAGACGTTGAGCGCGATGTTGACGACGTAGCACGGTTCCGACGTCGGGTCTCCTGGTTCTTAGTCCAATCTTTCTCAACCTGTCCCGTACAGTTTGACCGGATATCCTCCGAAGTCCAAGCACCCTGGCTGCTGTGCTCTCACCCGTGGCAGTGCGATCACGCAAAAGTAGTACCCGGATGTACCGATCTCGGGCTGCAGTGGTGACTCGAGGCCTGCCTGTACGAGGACGGTTACATGTTATACCTGTTTGGTTGTAACGAGCTGCAAGCCGTGACATCGCGCTCACACTAACATTCAGACGCCTGGCAACAGAAGATTGGTAATCTCCAGCGTGCATTCTTGCAATGGCGATGTTCCGTGTCGCAGCGTCAAGACGTGGGGTAGTGATTTGTCCTTGAAACTCCTTCAAAACGAATGCCGTTTCCGAAAGTAATCTGGATTTTTATAGCTAGACAGTGCATGCTGTTTGCTGCACAATTTCAAGGGGAATGTGATTCCTGTTGCGTTGTGGCAATGCCTTTTTAATCCTTGTAAGAAATCTCATCAAAATCAACATTTTCAGGTAAAGTCGATTTTTCACTTGTGCAATTGTGTAAAATCATTGTTGTGGCAAGAAACACATTAGTCTGATACACTCTCACCAAAGTTTATTTCCGTTTTCGTTATGTTTATCGTTGTTGTAGCGTTGCATTAAGTACATACGTTCGATCGTTGTGTACAAAACAGTTGACGAGAGGTTCATAGGAACTACAAAGGAGAAACAAAATACTTGTTCAGTATACAATCCAAACCTGAACCTAATAAAGTGTACAAATATTCAAAATCCATATTTTCTAAAGAAGAAATTAATTGAATCAAACATGTTTTCTCTTAACTCGTTTGGACATAGAAGCAACATAAATTCAAGAAATACCTCACATCTGTGTTCTGCCATAACTCAACATGCTGTCAACATGGAGGCCTTCTGTCTGACTGAGTCCATGTGCCTCTGATCATGTGATCAGATTGCCAGGATGTGAATTATGTTATAAATTTGTAAAAGTTTAAGCAGCAGCCGGGGTTTGAACTTGCAACAGATACGTTGACAATTTTAAAATATTAAACTAACTTTTACTTTAAATTAAATTGAAAGGCTAAACTTTGTGTTCTGCACGTACAATCATGTTACCAACACTTTTGTTGCATATTTTGACGATTGTTTGAACACAATAGGTAATTAATAGATTTTTAAAAATACAAACGCCTATGCGTTTCTTTTTGGGGGATAGCATATACACTCAGGGGCAAAAGAAACGATACCATATTATTGAGGCTAATTAATGATAGATGACAAAAGATAAACAGAAAATCAATGTTGTAATTTGAAGAGAAATAGGTGAGGAGCATGGAAATTCATTAATCGAGGCCACTAATTGTTTGAGATAATTGAAAAAAACACATAATATTCATATGTCCTGTATTCGATCACTCCAGTATGATGAGATACGTCAATGTCAGTGACACAGGGACACTCCTGTGAGTCAATATCGAGTGTGGTCACCACAGGCATCGATGCAGCCTCTAACACGACGTCGAACAGATGAGGTCAGACGTCTGATCACGTGAGGAGGTATCCTGTTCCACTCCTCCCGCAAAGCCTGGATGAGGGTTTGTCTGTTCACGGGGCGACCTGTCTGGCACGAATCTGTCTCCCAAGATGGTCCCACAAATGCTCAATGAGTGAAAGGTCCGGAGAGCGTGATGGCCATGGCAGGACAACAACGTTGCTGGCGTTGAGAAAGCCTTGAACACGTCCACCTGTGTGACATGGAGCGTTGTCCTGTTGAAATACGGTTCTTGGATTCTGTTGAAGGAAGGGTAGAACAACTAGCAGCCGAAGGACTTGGTCGATATCACGCTGCCCATTCAAATTCCCATCGACAACAACCCGATCCGTCTTTCTGTCACCACATATCCTTCCCCACACCATAACGCCATCACCGCCAAACGGCTCAACCTCCTGCACGCAGCAACGGGCCGTCCGCTCTCCTCTGCGTCGATGCACTCGTGTCATGCCGTCAGGTCTGTTGAGGAGGTATCTGCTGTCATCAGTAAATAAGACTCTGTCCCATTGTCTGCGCTGCCAACCTTGAATGATATGTGCCAATCTCACACGTCGACGTCGATGGAAGCGCCTCAGCGCTACACCACGGTAGGGTCTGTAGACTCGGATACAATGCTGACGAAGTCTCCTGGACACCATCCTTCGGCTTATACGATGACCCAGCGCAGTTGATGCTGATCACGTCACAGTGAGGAATCGGTTGCGCAAATGCAGGGTTCGCAAGTACCGGTCTTCAGCTGGGGTCGTGACCCGAGGTCTGCCTCTCCTCGGCCTGTCCTGTGTCCTGCCTGTCTGTCTGTAACGGGTCATCAGCCTGGTTGTTGTCAGTCGGCTACAACCGAAGATCCTGGCGACGTGATTGTAGGTAGCGCCATGGCCGATGGCCCTTTCTCTCTCCTCTTTCGGTAATCTCGGCATGGTCGCAAACGTAATCGTAAAATGTACATGTCCATAAACATTTTCACGTGCTTTTATACCTAATATTTGTCACGTGTGTCATGTGTGCACGTGCACGAAACTTTCGTGAATAAGTTCACTTTTCTGGGTTCTTGCTTTGCACGTCAGTTTTGTTGAGTTCTGTTTTGAATGTTCATACATTCTCTTCCCATAGAAGTTACTTGTCATATCTTCCTACGAACCTCTAATACGGCCCTTTCATGGTACGAGTGTTGGGGATTCGTGATTGGTTGCAATCACATTTAGTTGTGCAATCAGCGATGTTGTTTCAAAACTGATCATTCGCAAGGCCTCGGTAATTTCCGTTTGTTTCGGGAAAACTGGAACCTCTTCCTCTGCGCGATACGCAAACGTTTCTTCTAGACAGAACTCAGTCATGTAATGGCGGCTCAATGGCGTCTCCATCGCCCTCGTTGACAACGGACAAGCTAGCCATTAAATGTCTTGTGTGTCACATCAACACAAGTCCCCGGCAGAGGAGGAAGATGTGTGGCCCCACATTTACTTGTATTAGTCAAGTTGGATCTAATTCGATGTAACATGTGTTCTGATTGGATTCGTGTTGCGATTTTTGCCGCTAGGGGATTTTACGAGAACCGGGAAAATGGCCGTATAGAACAGAGGTTCGTAGGAAGATATGACAAGTAACCTCTGTGGGAAGAGAAATGCAGTTTATACTAAGTTACACGGATTTTCAGAACAGACAATACGTTGAATGTTGAATGTGATCATGCATCAAACGGGAGAATCGGTTCAAATTTTTCATTTTGCCATGAATTTGAAAAAATGCTTTGAAAATTTGAAAAATGGTCACTCAAAGGTATCAAATCCATGACTGAAAATATCTGATCTCACGATCGCATCATGGCGGAAGATAACAGTGACTGAAATATACTATTTTTGAGTGCGTGAGTGAGTATGGTTTTACGCCGCTCTTACAGCAATATTGCAGCAATATCACGGCGGGGAACACCAGAAATGAGCTTCACACATTGTATCCAAATGGAAAATCGAACCTGGGTCTTCGGCGTGACGAGCGGACGCTTTAACCACTGGGCTACCTCACGGCCATACTATTTTTGAATACTAGTTAAACGTATAATATAGGTTATTAAATCACATTTGCGATAACAACAATATTCAAGGTACATATGTGTATGAGTGACAGTAAATTTTGTGCTAAAACACGATATCTATCTAGTTTATTGCAACGGTCATGACGTGACAAACGGTTTGAACTAAACTTTCCCAGTCTTGATTACTTTACCCCAGGTGAGCACCCCATGCTGATTAAGGAAGCATACCTGCCACATATGCAAGAACCGTATATTGATGTAACAATAACAATGTGCAACCACATAGAGCTCCATTATTTATTTAAAGCTTATTATCGGTGTTTCTGATCTGAAATCGAAAAACCAATGGAAACAATTAACTTAACCTATGCTGCGTCAATATGCACATCTGCTAGTCTTCTGCGCGACCGGTTTCAAATTCAATTAAGCGTAGTTACATGTACAGGTGACCGGGCTTTAAACTGAAACAATTCCGCGATACATTTGTTATGCTATCGACGCATGTCATTCAGGAGACAAAAAGGAATTCATTTATGCATCACTAATGCGACAATCCAATTATGTTGATAGTTCTGAATGCACAATGCTAGTTTTAAAGTTGTCAAATGTAACATGTTATATTTAGGATTACACTTTCTCAGTAAAGTACAGATTCTAGTACTTTTTTGTTGAGTCCGGGATTCGAACCCACACTCTCTGAGTCACGCACTTTACCAATATACAAAGTCAGCAATCTAACCCACTCATCCATCGCGGTTTTCCATCTTCCACCTTGAAAATTCTCTTTAGATTTATGTTGTGTTAGTATTTGACATAGGTTAATGGTGGCGCAGTAGTCCAAGAGGTCGCAAATCGCGGTTAAGAACCCTGACGGTAGGTTCGCATCCAAGATTTGCCAAGTTTATGTACAAGTCAAAACATTAATTACACAACAGTCTCGTTTCCTGTTGACTGGGTTCCGTCCTATTGCGCAACTTAGTACAATAACCAGTCCAGAATTTTGAGACCAATTCATTTAACTGGATACATAAACATTAATCAGTATT